CGGGTTCACGCCATTCTCCCGCCTCAGCCTCCGGAGTAGCTGGGACTACAGGCGCCCGCCACCACGCCCGGCTAATTTCTTTTTGTATTTTTAGTAGAGATGGGGTTTCACCGTGTTAGCCAGGATGGTCTCGATCTCCTGACCTCGTGATCCGCCCGCCTCGGCCTCCCAAAGTGCTGGGATTACAGGCTTGAGCCACCGCGCCTGGCCAGAAACTTCTTTATAAAGGTGGCTGTTTAGTGCCTGTGAAACCTTGTGGCTCTGCTTACAATGCTTTGGCGATCATTTATGGAAGGAAGATCTGATTGGGTGGCAGCAGGGGTTGCAGAATCTTGCTCTTCAATGTGGAATCACCCACATTAATTTACACAGCAAGGTACAATTCAGGACAGGTGTTTCAGGGGGGTGGGTAATCAGAGAAGCTGTGGTCCTCAAACCACTTAAATTGCCTTCTTCATTATGCATTCAGTGGGACTATCTCATCAGATCAGGTACTTCTCCGGGGTGGTGGTGAGAACTGGTGGTAAAGACTGCAGCTGGTAAGGAAGGGAAAGGAAGCTCTCTTCCTAAGCTCCTGTGTGTTTCCTGGTGGATGATGGAAAATGGAGCCCTGGATTGGGAAATATGTTCTATCTAGTGGTCAAGGTGGTTGACTTTGCAGAAGTGGATTGACAAAGCATGTTAAGTTTTTGTCTGCTGTGGCATAAAAATGGGAAGTAACAGGGTTATAAACAGATTTAGTCCTGAGCAGAAAAAGGCGGGGCACAAAATAGTCATCAAAGGTCTCCAGATATTAGGTATCTGCTGAAATATATGAGCCTTTTCCATAGTGCCTGTCGTGGAGTTGCTACTTGCAGCCCAGTGATTCAGTGGGGTCAGAGAGAGATGGCTTCACTTTTCCCCTCAACCATGCACCAGCTGGTTGCTTTTCTAAGCCTTCTTTATTTCCTTATTCACAAAATAAGAACAGTGCCACCCATCAGGTAGTCTACTTATGGTTCAGGGAGTTAGCACACGTAAAAGACTTAGCAGTTTCTGGCACATATTAGGTGCTCAATAAAGGTTGGCCATAATGAATAGGTATTTATGGTCAAGTAGACAGTGTCATTCCTTCCTAACTGCCTGTCTTTACACGCTCAATTCTCTCTATTCTTTTTCCATTGTTTTTGAGCTCAAGTCACACCTGCCTTTTTTTGTTTGTTTCAAATAGGCCAAATCTCTCTCACTTCAGGACCTTTGTACGTGCTATTTTCTGTATTTAACTACCTTTCTAGTTAACTCACATTCATCTATTGACTCTCAGATCAACCATAACTTTTTAAGGGAGACCCTCTCTGAAATCTGTGGCGCTGGCTCTCCTATCTGACCCTTACTCTAATCTTGTTGAGTGCATAGTTGTGTGATGTTTGTAAGTATTTATTTGTGTGATGGCTGGATTACTGTTTTCTTTCTCACTGGACCATGAGCTCCAGAGACCTCCCCATGGCTCTAGATTGAGTATGCACATAGTAACTAGTGGATGAAGGAATCCGTGCTGGTTTCTGACATGGCTCCTGGATGCATAAGGTTGTCATAATTCTACAGAGCTGAAACTGCTAAGTCAAACCCACAATGTCTGGGAGACGTGTAGTTCTCCAAAGAGAACTAAAAACACAATTTAATTACTTCCTAGTATATTTTTGAGAGACTCTGATGAGGTTTAGGGAGTTTCCTTTGGCTTTTGAGGATTTTAGCGAGACTTACTAATTGGTGAGCAAGTTTAAATTTGCAATAGCCCCAGTGAAGGAGGGATCATTAATTCCCCGTTTTTCATTTTAAAAAGATGCTGAGTGCACGGAGGTCAGCATTCTGCCATTGAAAGGCAAAACCACATTATAGGCAAACCACATGTCCCTGTGGACTGTGCCCTTTCAGGATTAGTGGCAACTGGAAGCTAAAGAAAATGAACCATTTAAGCAGAAAAACCCCATTTGAATGAAACTCAGAGAACTACACTTTGTTTTATAACTGCTTTAGGGAATTCACATTTAATCAAAATTGAAGACTACAGCATTTGCCAGGAGAATTCTTGTATCTTACCTCAGTTTTAGTGATTTTAATTACTTGATGCTCCACAGAAATCCTAAAATACTTAAAACCGAGAAACAGAAATAAAAGTGGGAGTCTCAATTGCTTGTGGCAGAATTGTTTGCTTCCTTGGTTTTGGGCAATGTTCCTAACAAGTAACCTGTAACCTACTTCTGAAGGCTACAAGTGGATAATTACTTGGTTAATTTTCATATTTCAGTTTATAGTCTTAATTAGTTCTCCAACTAGTATTCCTTAGGCGATGTATAATCCCACCTCATCATATTTATGATTTTTGCTATTTGGGATCTCCTGTTTCCATTTAAAAGATGAAAAACTTAGCTTGTGCCCCCACATTCCTAGATATTTATTCATTGTCATGTGTTCTTGCCGAGAGAGTTAGAATATTCTGCAATTTAGAACTCAAAGGGAACTGAGTGAAATGCTTGCTACTTTGAAGTAATTTCTTTGTGATTATGAATATGTTACAAATATTAACCTAAACTGAACATACTTTGAATTGCTTCTTAGGAGGAGATGGAAGCACAGGTAAAGGGTTTGGTATTAGGTAGATGCCAGTTCAAATCACATCTTTACACTTGTCTGGCCAAAGTTTTTAATCTGAGTCTTAACTATTGATGAAGCATCTGCTTCATGGAACTGCCCCAAGGATTTAGCGAGATGATGAGGGCAAGGGTTTAGCATGTACTTGCCCGATATTTTCTGTATCTGTGCTGCCCAATAGAAGCATAACGCAAGCCACATATGTAATTAAAAATCTTCTAGCATTTACATTAAACAGTTAAAACAGGTTAAATTAGTGATAACTATGCATTTTATTCAATCCAACATATGCAACATATGATTTCTACATAAAAATTATCAAAATAGTTTTCATTTTTAAATACAAAGTCATTGAAATCCATTTTCTCAGAACATTTCAATTTGGACTAACCACATTTTAACTGCTTAATGGCCAGATGTGGCTAGTGGCTACGGGTATTAGGCAGTGCAGCTCAGATGGTCAATACATTCTCATTTCCTTCGCTTTGTATTTTAGAATTAGTTTAAACCTGAGTCATCCAACCAGTGGGGTGGCTGCTATGGAGAATCAGAAATCTGCATTCATCGTTTCTCAATTTATGTAGGTGTCAGAAAAACTGCACAATGACTGGAAGAGTATAGGTACTAGTTATAGGTACTAGTGATTTGCTAAATTTTAATTGTGTTAAACAGTATAGTTCTAATAGGAAGAAAAGTAGTCCTTGATATGAAAAGTAGGCATTCAAATCAAATAGTGTGCGTAAGATGCAGCTGAAATAAAAGTCTGAGAAATAAAAAACCTATAAAGCTATCAAATTTGGTTATTCTAAACTTGGGGTTCTTGCATGCTTTGAGGGGATCTGTGAATGGACTTTGGGGGTATGTGAAGTCTTCAATTATATGCACTTTTTAATTTTCTGCAAATAGAATCTATAGCTTCCATCAGATCCTTCAATGGGCCCAAGAAGTAAAGTACATGCAGCCAGGGTGGTAGAAAGGCCTGTTATAGTGGATGTTCTGTTTACACAGAAGCTGGGGCTTTACATTAGTGAGAACGGAAGCTAGAAATTGTCTCATCACTATTACCCAGGAAAATTTTCATCCCGACCGCCAGCTAAGAAATGCACTGTGAGGCACTTGGAGCTCATACTTGTTGAAGAAATGGCAGATTCATGATTCCTCTTATGTTCACTCTGGGGCATCCACTGGTGAAATGCATTTGTTTTTTGGTCGAGGGCACAGGATTTAATGTTAACCATGCACATGAGGGTGATTCTCCAGAGTATGGGGTGCTAAGAATTGTGGAACCAGGTGTTGGGTTTTGAGTTCAAATCCCAGTTTGGTTATGAATGAGCTGCACTGCATTTCTTTGCCTCCCTGAGTGCCCTGTTCATTGATAAAGTGATGATTTCTAAGATCTCTTCCAATTTCTTTTAGAAGTTAATTGGTTAAATTAGATTTGGGAAGCTTCATATTACACAGAATGTTATGACTAAGTATATCTAGATGATAAAGTGATTTAAAAATAAGTTGAAATCAAAGGATTTAGAATTGGATTTGAATGCATCCTATTATTTCCCTCTACTTTTTCATAAGTGCAGGAGCTGAGCCCCAAATCCAGAGACACATGGGGAGCCCTGGTTAGAAACCCCTGTGCTTGGCCGGGTGTGGTGGCTCACGCCTGTAATCCCAGCACTTTGGGAGGCCGAGATGGGCGGATCACGAGGTCAGGAGATCGAGCCCATCCTGGCTAACATGGTGAAACTCTATCTCTACTAAAAATACAAAAAATTAGCCGGGTGTGGTGGTGGGCGCCTGTAGTCCCAGCTGCTCGGGAGGCTGAGGCAGGAGAATGGCATGAACCCGGGAGGCGGAGCTTGCAGTGAGCCTAGATCGTGCCACTGCACTCTCAGCCTGGGCGACGAGCGAGACTCGGTCTCAAAAAACAAAAACAAAAACAAAAAAAACCAAACCCTGTGCTTGACTGTTTAGGCTAAAGCTGTTCCTGTGGCCATGTAGCCCCCTCTGGCCTTCAGTGAGAACACACAAGGGGAGGAAAGCTATTTCCCCATGTAAACTCATATGCTGATATATGCTTTGCAGCAATTTATAATTCATCTGACTGATGATTGTTCGCTGTGAAACATTAACTAGGAAGACAGGGTATGAGGTGACAGGACTGGGAAAGGGGAGCTTCTCCTGGGAGGAGGTAAGGATCCGATTTTGTGGAAAGTTAAAACGGAGAATATCAGGAAACCGAGGCCCTAATAGTACACTTTTTGCAAAAATTTCACCTTGGAGGGCTGATTAGAGTAATGCAGCAGATGTAATTATCATAACAATGCCTGGTTCTGGAAGAGGTAATGAACAGACATCTTAATAATGAGGAATAAGTATTGCAGTGTTTTATTTTCATTAAGTTGGTTTATTACAAGAGTGACTACTAATTAGTCTCAAGATTCTGGCCCCAAAGGAGGGACTGTGGTTGGAGCAGGGTCTGTAAGAGGAATATATGTCTGAAATGCCTAAAACACCTGGTCATTTCAATCCAAATTCCATTTGGATCAGACAGTAAACCAGATGTATGGCATCATGGCAAATAAAAATGACACCATCCTAATCCTATCTTTATCTTACTTTTTTTTCAGTATTACAGCTGAAATTGGTGTAAACATTACAATCAATCAGGAAACAATTTGTAGCAAATTCATTATTTACGATCCTGGTGGTTGCAGTGGTCAGAAAGATACCAGATTTGAAGCCCACCCAGTTTGGTGACCCGTTTTTCTATGAAAATATTGCCTGATTTGCAGATGCATCTTAGAAATGGAAAGCTGGATCTAGCCACCCGGAGTGTTAGTTATTACTGACAGGCAGTAATGGTTGCAATAAACGAAAGAGATTTCACTGTAAACATGGCCCTGACTGATAAACTTGCTCATAGCTATTCTTGTTTATAGGATATTGGGCCAGGCTGAAACTTTCTGTGAGACAGGCAGTCAGAATGCAGGGTTGTATGGTAAATTTGACCCTGTGTTCTTCACTGCTAGACCTTGGCTTTATATCCATGAGGCTGAATGCGAAGGCATCAGATGGTCTAAAATACTTAAATCCTTCCAAAGTAGCAGGTAATACAACCAAGGGAAAAAAAGCAAACACTGCAAAAGGCTTTTATTTTATAGGCACCACTGCAAAATGACGAATCACATCAAAACATATGAAATAGAAAATAATAATTTATTTTAACTTCATTTTACTTAATGTTTGTAACTAATCATGATTTTGTGAACTTGCTTGTGTAAGTCTGTACCTTCAAATCTACAAAGCAAAAGTTTACTACAATGAGCACTTAAAATTCCACAAACCATCTCCATCCACAACTTTCCTGTACATGCAAATTCTTTCAATGGGCTGCAATATTTGCAAACATGCTTTAAACTTCCATAAAGCTGCATGATATTTTGCTTTCTGCTAAAACCTTTACACTCTCTTGGGAACCTTAACCAGGAAAATGTTTAAACGTATATCCCAACTCTAAATGTTGCCGGTTTGGTTATGTGTATTAAATCGTTAACCACCGGGTTGGGTGGTTTTGAGTTGAAACCTTCACCTAAATAATATCTTAACGGTCACGCATATGAAACACATTCAGTAACGTAACATTATAAAATAGGGTTCCATTAAAAATACATACTGGCAGTTGTATTTGTGTTTTTAGGCAGGAAAAAAAGCGTGTTTAACTTTTTAATATGAATATAGTTTAAACAAATTATTCTGTGAAAGTATGCTTAATAAAAGATCTTTCTGAAATTTAAACACTTTATGTAAAAGGGTACAGGTAGAAAAGTACAATTGCTATTTGAAAAAAGCTCTGTTTGTTAATATTGCCTTCCAAGATAGTAAGGGTGTTTTTCTCTCTCTCCCCTTAAAATAGACCTATGACACCCAGAGTTGTAGGGTCTGCAAATTTGGACTATAAACATGAAGACCGTATTTATCTTATATACAAAAACTTGCCGCATTGAACGAGGCAGGAATTTCTACCCCAGTGGTAGTGGTCTCTTTTATGTACATAATGCAGAAGTGAAAATTATACAGTAGTCACCGATAGGAAGGAATTGTATACTCTAGTGCCGTCCGGGGATTTTGTGCCGTGGGTTAAGAGTTCCTGGATCGTCATCCAGTTATCGAAGATTTTTTTATTCCTCTTCTTCATCATCTTTTTGTGGCTTAGTTCCAGGATGTTCATCTCCTTCCTGTCGTCGGCTGCTTGCTGCTCCTTGAGACAATCCAACCTGCTCTGCATCATGAACTCGCGCCGCCGCCGCTGCTCCTTGGCCTTCACCAAGTGCTGCTTCCTCTCCTCCTTGCTCCAGTAGCGCCCCATCTTCATCTCGCTCACCGCGTCGTCGTCGGTGGTCATGCCGCTGCGCTCTTCCCGGATCTTCAGGGCGCGCTCCCGCAGCAGGCGGTCCCGCACGGGCCTCTTGGTGATGTAGCGCGTCCCGTCGCTGCGAATCTTCACCTTCCACTCCATGCGCGGCTCCGACGGGGTGGGGGAGCTCAGGTCCTTGCACATGCTCACCAGGCTCATCTGGCTCTGCGCGTACTCCACGGCCGACTTCTGCTGGATCAGCTGCATGTAGCTCTGGTAGTGCTGGGCGTGCGCCGGGATGTGTGCGTGCTTGTATGGGGAGTGGTGGTAGGTGGGCAGGTAGGCGCTGCCCAGCTTCTGGCTGGGCGTGGGGCTCCGGCTCCCGTCGCTGGCTCTCCGCTCTTTGCTTTCCAGGGGCTGGCTAGGGTCCAGCTCCTTCAGGGATGGGCTATAGGTAGGGGTGCCCACTTCGGGATCTTCCGTGATGGAGAGCAGATTCTTTGGGGCTGGCCCATAGGCTTCCGTGGTCGCCACAGCCCCTTCGGTGCTCGGGCAGCTGATGCCCTCCGCTGCTCTCCTCAAGGAGTTGTCGGGGGAGATCTCCAGGGTGAGCGGGGTACTGCGGCAGCTCTCGCCCGTGTTGTAGGCGCTCGAGCTGTCCTTGTCGGATTTCTCCGGGAGCTCGGTGATGTCCGAGAGCTCGTGCCTACGCACGTCAATGCTGGTGTTGTAGTTGCGGAAGCCGCTGTTATGTAGCATCCAGGACTCGCGGTACTGTTCCTTGAGCTGCTGCATCTTGTGGGCGCGCACGATGCTCAGGCACTCCAGCTCGATGCTGCGCAGCTCCTCGTTCAGCAGCTCCAGCTCCTTGTCCACGCTCTCGGGGTCGCTCTTGCCGGCGTCCAGGGGGCCGCTAGGGTAGTACAAGCCATAAGGAGTGGCGCTCTTCACCTGGCACTTGAGCTCCAGGAGCTCGCGGAAGCGCTCGCACTCGTCCACTGGGATCCCCAGGTAGTCGGCGTCCGTGCAGTCGGCCGAGATGAAGGACTCGTTGCTGAAGGGTAGGTCGCCACTGCCCAAGGTGTCCTGGCTGCAGGTTAGCTTCCTCTGCCCCGCCAGCGGGTTGGAGGATGCGGTGGCATCGTCGCCGTTGTTCTCTTGCTCCGAGCTCTCGTCATTGCGGGTGCTCTCGTCGGTCCGCCCCACACCGCTGTCCTTCTCGTGCTGGTTGGACAAGATGGTGGCTGTATCTGTGGTCCCACCGTCTTCCTCGTGCTTCTTCTGCATAAAAACAAGAACAAAGGGTCACAGTGAGGGAGGCCTACGCAGCAGGTACTCAGGTTTGACCTTTCCTTGCAGTGTTTCTGGATAGGGCAGGCTGTACATTTCTAAGGCCGAGGGGCGGCATCTGACAGTAGGACCAGGTCAAGAGCGTGGGCCTTAGCCACACTTACCCATATCTACCTGGGCAAGTCACTTATTCTTGTTCTTGTCCTCAGTTTTGTAAAATGAGGATAATAATAGTCGCTTTATCTCAATGAATGATTCTGTTAAATCAATCAGTACACAGGTAGGATGTATAAAGGTCCTTGTTTAGCTCATACAGGACTCAGTAAGTGGCTCATTAAGACTCTGACAATGGTAGTAGCATAGTAGGGAGCTAGAGAGCTCCAAGTAGCTCAGGTTAAACAGAGGGGATTGCTTTACTTTGGAAAACATGGCTTTTTCCAATCTATGGCAATGCCGACGCATATGTTTTCCAAACAAATTATCATAAGGTCAGCTTTGCTTTGGCAATGGTGCTTAGATTTAAAAGCTTAGCTAGGGACAGTACCAGCTTGCATTTCACTGGTCTGGTGCTCAAATAGAAAAGTACTTGAGGCTGTTTTCTTGCTATCTTCCAGGTGGATAAGCTTCTGATGGTCTTTAGCGCCATAAAGGGGGATGGAGGAAGCAGACTTTCCTCCAGCTCAGCAGGGCAGAGTGTCAGGGACTGGTGCGTGGGCGTTACCTGCTGAAGCACGCTAGCTGTGAATTGCATGGCCTGGTGGTGCTGCTCCTCCAGCATGTCCATGTGCAGGTCATCCAGAAAGTCATTCCTGTCATCGTCCATCCAGCCCTCATCCAGCTGCAGGCAAGAGCAGCCAACACATGCCTTAGAAGTTTCCTTTCATGTTCATTTATGTTTTTTAAAAAATGACATTACCTTGGGGAAAAATATTTCCAGGGCTTCCTCCAAGAGTCATCAAAATGCAGTCTGCCCAATGATTTGCCGTTAAGTCAGGAAACTATCCCACCCTCACATTACAGAGACCTCCAACCCTGCACTACAAACTGGGGAAGTCTTTAATATCCATGATTTTTTTTTTTTCAGGGTGAAACTCTTTCATCCATCTCAGCTACTTTCACTGCAGTAAGACACCTGTGTAGGAGGGTCAGATTTAGCTGTTCCCCCTGCTTGCTGGACCAGACACAAGTTTAACAGATCCCATAGAAAAACGATTTTTAGTGTGAAAAAGAGTTCTTTCTGATACAGTAGATACAGTAACTAGCTGTTTGGCTTGGGCAAGGATATCACGGTTTTTTTGTTTTTTGTTTTTTTTTTGAGACAGAATCTCGCTCTGTCTCCCAGGCTAGAGTGCAGTGGCATGATCTTGGCTCACTGCAACCTCTGCCTCCTGAGTAGCTGGGATTTGGGATTACAGGCATGCACCACTACGCCCAGCTAATTTTGGTATTTTTAGTAGAGATGGGGTTTTACCATGTTGGCCAACTGGGCCTCATCCTGACCTCAAGTGATCCTCCTGCCTCGGCCTCCCAAAGTGCTGGGATTATAGGCGTGAGCCACCGAGCCTGACTGGATATCACTTTTAAAAGGCCTTTATCTGCCTTGCCCTAAAAAGAGTGAACTATTCAGAAGTTGGCACTCTATAGCTCATGGGGCTCAATCCAGCCTGCTATTTTTGTAAATAAAAAAAAATTTAATGAGAACACAACTATGCCCATTCGCTGACATAATTGTCTATGTCTGCTTTTGCACTAGAGTGACAGAGTCTAGCAGAGATGGTATAGCCACCCGAGTCAAACATTTACTATCTGGACTTTTAAGAAAAAGTCTGACTGTGAGTGAGATGACAGCTGAAGTTCCCTTTGAGCTTATGAGGCTTCCATCTGTGGAGAATCAGATGCCCTGTATTCCACTGTCTCTAGGCTACTTTTTCAACTGGGTTTCATACTGATATGGTTTGGCTGTCCCCACCCAAATCTTACCTTGAATTGTAACTCCCATGATTCCCACATGTTGTGTGAAGGACCTTGTGGGAGATAACTGAATCATGGGGGCAGTTTTCCCCATACTGTTCTCATGGTAGTGAGTAAGTCTCATGAAATCTACTAGTTTTATAAGGGGAAATCCCATTTGCTTGGTTCTCATCTCTCTTCCCTGCTGCCATGTAAGACGTGCCTTTTGCCTTCCACCATGATTGTGAGGCCTCCCCAACCATGTGGAACTGTGAGTCCATGAAACCTCTTTTTCTTTATAAATTATCCAGTCTTGAGTATGTCTTTATCAGCAGCATGAAAACGGAGTAATACACATACCTAAAGAGATCTACTACTGGACTGCTCTAGATGTGTTGCTGGAGCCATTCTAAGTGGATCAAGAGTGCCACCTGGGAGAGTTCATGATTCCTTCTGTGGAAGGAGTTATTATAACACAGTGGTTTCTGAATCAGATTACTTGGGCCTGAACCCCTCCCTGCTTTATCACCCTCCTTCTGGGGCTTTACTGGGTAACTTTTGAACCTCTGGAAACTTCCATCTCTTGGGAAGGCTCTCCTGTGTGTAAAGTGATCCACGGAGAGTCTAGCCCTTATTTGGTGGTCATATCAGTTTTAATTATTATTTATCATTCAATATTTCTTTTATTTTGAAAGAGCAATTTTTAATTCCCCATACTCTGCTACTGTAAATGGAACCTGCACAGATCAAGGCTGGAACACATGTTAGGCCTTGGGAAGTCAAACGTCTTGATGGTCATGACTCCAGTGGTCATGACTCCAGTTGTGTTTTCCATTCTATTCTGTTTCCTTTTCCTTCCCTATGATCCCTGCATTAACCAACCTGGTGGGCCTGTAGTATAGATGTCAGGGTGGGTATCTAGCCAACCTTACATGGCTAAATCATAAAGTGGATTCTAAGTCACAGCAAGTTTGATTGTATTTCTAGGGTACAAAACACCTTCAAGTTCACAGCCAATACTCAGGTGCTCTTTTCCAAGCCTGGGGACCTGAGCTTTTGATTTTAGAAATACAGACCCAGTTTCATCTGTAGGAAGCCGATTTACCTGGAGTTCAGGCCTTGCAATCAGCAATGAAAAGTTTTTATTTTCTTCACTGGTTAGAAGAGCCACAGCCTCTTCTCGGTTCTGCACCTCTATCCCATTGATCTTAAAAAAAAAAAAAAAAAGGGTGGTGGGGAGTGGGGAGACAAATAGTATGATTAGATGGTGCAAAATCATTCTATTTTATTTCAGACCTGCATTTGTCACCCACTCACAGCTGGAACATAAAACTTCCCTGTAGCTGGAAAAGAATACTGATTTTAGGAAGGAAAAGTCTTGCTCAGAGCAATGCAGTTTCTCTGGTCTACAAAGGAGCCTCCATGAGTGTAGTTCATGAGGTGACTGATGTGTGGAGTGTGAACAGAAGGGGCTGAACCTCTAGAAGACAGCACTGAGAAAAATCATAATGCTGTGCAGAGGGAACATGTAAGTAATTAGACATAATATTCCGGCAGGAGTATATGTAGACATTATTGGATAATATAGAAGAAAAAGCAGCAGTGGGTCTGATGTGAACATTATGGAAACTGAGGTTAAGAAAAGGGAATAGAATTACACATGGTGTTTTGTGTCCCCAGTTTGACACTTAAACTTCTTTAGGCCAGGCAGAGGGTCAAGTGGGCATGACACTCTCACTATCACACTTGATTAACCCTCTTGCAGGATTTTTGCTTGCATGTCCTGGTGACTTTGACCCCTGTTGGTCTGGAGGTCTTAATCCTGGTGGAACGCCACCTCTAGGGAACACAGCAATGGTTCCATTGAATTGGAAGTGGAGCCCTCCACATGCCTCCTTACACCAGTGAGCCAACAGGCAGCAAAAGGGGTGACGCTATTGGTTGGAGTGATTGCCTTCCATTACCAAGGGAAAATGGGCTTGCTGTGATACAGTGGAGGCAGGGAGGACTGTGTCTGGAACCCAGGGGATTCCTTGGAGTACCTCTGAGTGCTTCCATTCTTAGTAAAGGTTAATGGAAAACTCCAGCAACCAAAAAAAAAAATGGCAGTATGCTGAGGACCCTGACCCTTCAGGTGTGAAGGTTTGGGTCACTTCCCTAGGGCAAGCGATCCTGAGCAGCACAGGTTCTGGCTGAAGGCTAGAGAAACCCAGAGTAGGCAGTGGGAGAAGAAAATCAAAATGACTTGTGGTGAGGTATGCAATGAGAAAAACACAGTGGATTAGGAATGAGAGGATATGGATGAGAAGAGAGAAAGCTAAGCCTTGCAGACACAATGAAGCCAAGAATCTCAATTCTGTGAGATTAAAGAAGGTTGTAGCCAAAAGAGACATGAATGGTCTCATTTGGACTAGAAGGAGCAACAGGGCTCAAGGTCAAGTGATGACCCTCAGAAGCGATTCCAGGATGGTTAGATGTTGAGTCAGAAAATTTATAAGACTTTTCAATCGATTCTGCTAAATTTGCCAAAAATGTTCCCATTTTATGGACGAGACTCTGAAATGCTTGGTCCAAAGTTAATCTTTCAGAGAAATCTAAAACGAGAATTATGTTAGTTCACAAGTTGTAAACTGTTGGCCTGACTTTGGCTCACTGATGTTTGTTTTGATCCAAATAGAATGAAAGAAAATGAGGAGAACTGGCTCAAGTTTTGCAAGGCCCTCTTTGGACAGAACATGCCCCATCTAGTTTGTCTCAGTCCTCACCACTCCCTGTTGCGTCTTATGACTCAGAGTTAGCCTCACAATTAGTTTAACTTGTCTGGCCTCACTACACATCTGTGTTTGTGATCCCTGTTCTTTAACCTCTTCTGCAATTTCAACCCTAGACCTATCATTAGAACCAGTTTGCTCTTTAGTGATAGGCCCATTATGAGGCCATTGTTTGGAAGTGGACTTACCTGGATAATGCGGTCTCCTTCTCGGATGCGCCCATCCTTGGCTGCAATGCTGTTAGGGTCAATCTGAAACACACATGGACCATCTCAGCACAAATGCAGATACGCATGAAAATAAGCAACAGCACTTTCAAAGCCATCTCTAACACACAGTCATGCTCATCCCTGTGTTTCTGTTTTGCACTGAAATTAACAAGACTTAGTGTCGTGCAAGGAGAGGCAAACATGAGTTGATCTGCTTCTAAGCCCTTTCTAGGGCTGGTTCTTGGATCCCTGCATAGCAACTCTATTATATAGCAGTGTGTGCAGGCTCTGCTGATCTGAGGAGGCACAGCTGACTTTTGTTGCATGCATGGTAATTAAAATCAATGATGTAGAACAGGTTAAAGGATACCCTTCATTATGTTGACTAGCAACCATACCTTATTTTATACCAAATACTTGTATTAAAATTTGGAAAATAACTTTAAATTTGAAATATCATTGGGACAAGGAGGACTGATAAGGGGAGGGATGCCCCCAAACGCAGAAAGGCTGGGTTAACTTAAGCTTGGTGGATGACATACAACCAAAGAGACAATTTCGGAGTCTAGTAGTTCGTTCTGTAGCGACAGATTTTATTTCCTGACAAAATTGGGTTTCTGTGATTGCAAGGATGCGTGTGCACTGTAAAGTTTCCATGCTGAAACCAGCTGCTTTATGTATCTTCTCAAGGAAGGTCAAAACAGCATGCATCTATGTAGTTTGATAAGTACATACAAAAGTCACATTTAACTTATATGAACTCAACTATATATACTCCACTAAGAGGAAAAAAAAAAAAGAGTGAGAGACAGAGAGAGAGGCTTTAAAAAGTGTAAGTGATTCCACCCACCATTCCACTCAATGAACATGAGTTGGGAAATGTGAATCTGCTGTTCCCTCGGGGCTAAACACACAAAACCATGTAAACGGCTCCATTTTATGGCTGATTTGCAGGCTTCTCAAGGGTAATTTTGCCTTAAGTACTTACATTAGAACTTAACCTCCATGGAAAGATGCAATGCCATGGAGTGTGATGAGGGGGACAGAATAATTTGTGTCTTTCCAAAGAGTTCTTGATGAGGTGGGTTAGGGTTGGTGAACATATAAAAGACAAAAAAACATTTTGGTCTTGATCTGATAGTTACAAAAACAAAATCAGCCTTTGTACCTCACTGATATAAATCCCAATGTCATCTTCATCGTCTGTCCGGTAGCACACAGTGAGGCCCAGCTTGTCCTGGCTGTTCATTCTGTAGAGGTCCACTTCCTAGACAAAGAAAGGCATTCCCAGTGAGACTGCGGCAGGCAATGCGAGTTGAGGGGATGTCAAATGCTTTAAAAATATTATCTTTAAATGATGAACTGGATTGCTTTGCATTCAATTGTATAGGGCCGGTTAACTTACTAAAAAAAAAAAAAAGTGATTATGGACACAGGATCAATGCCTAGGGCATTTCTGACCTTTCACTCAATATAAAGTCATTTTGAAAATAGTTATTTCATTGATCCCCCAAAGAAAAATTACCCATATTTCACTCACAGTCAAGACTTCTGGGGCAGGGCTTTTCAAAAGCACTTTTTCAATGTCTGCCACAAACAAGAATATTTCCATACCCCAAACCAACCAGCCATTTCAGTACAAATGTTTCCAATGTGTTTGGTTAGATTATTTCACATTGTGTTCCCTTAATATTCACAGTCATAGAACTTGCAAACAGATTACACATAAATTGATCCAAGAAAGGAGGGTAACGTGATAGTGTGCAATTAATGTTCTCCACAACAGCTGTGATATTTACAGCTGAGAAATTAGTTTCAGCCGCTATTACTGCAAATTAAATAAGATAAAAGCAAAGCGAGCCCAAACGCGGGACACATGCTATTGTATTTGCCAATTAGTCTGTGCTTCAGAATGAAGTCAGAACTTTGGAAATTGTCGGAGCCTTAGGGGGGCCATCCTGGGGCTCTCAGTGTAACCAGGCTGTGTCACTCCCCCGCCCACTTTGCCAATGACTTGTGCAAGTTTTTGTAGCTCTAAGCTGCAGGCCTATTTGAAGGGCCACATGATAAGTTCTCCGGCAGATCCTTTGGTCTAATTTTTAGTGTTATCTAATCACCAAGCAGGAGAATGGAAGGGCTCCGAGATGGGGTCTTCGTGCCACTGTATCTGGGGACTATTTCCAAGTGGCCTCTCTCAAGGGTCTTCTTAGAGGGGAAGGAGAATGTAGCTGTCTATGTGGAGAAGCTCAAAACAGTTATATGGCAGATACTTCTTGAACTCTCCCCGATGAAAGGCAGGGTGCCAGGCACCATGGACACTTCCCAGGTGGAGGAACAGCAGGTGTAAAAGGCCCTGGGCCAGCATGGCCAGAGTCCCGTGTACAAAAAACAGAAGTGGGTTGAGGGTGGCCAGGTGGCAGAGCTAGACCAGGCAGGGCCCACAGGCCAGCATGAGCAGCTAAGATTTTATTTCAACACCATGGGAACCCATCAAAAGGTTTCAAGTGAGGACTGCCATGATCTTAATGACTTTCAGCAGTCTCTCTTGCTGATACATGGGGTATAACGTGGTGGGGAAGAGTTGTAACTATGAAGACATGTTCAGAACCCAACTCTCCCTCTTTCTAGCAGCTTGATCATGTGCGTGTTAGTATATCTAAGGTCTGTGTCCTCACTAGTACCTGTCATCTGGCCTCCCAGAGTCACCAACGTGAGGCACACAGAGCTCTTAGCACATTGACTGCCCCGTAGAAAGTCTATGGTCACCGGTAGTATAATAATTACATGCAGGTATGGTTACTTGCCTGAAGTCACAAGAAGTTGTTTGTGGTAGAGTGTGTATATTTCAGTGCCTCTCTTAATAAGATTATTTTCTGAACACTGATATGTTAATTCAACAGCTTCCTAATTTTAGCTCTATCCATATGGTAAATTCTCATTAAATGAAACCCCATTAATTTCTGATCATTGAGTTAGGTGGAAATTTCTTCATTTTTGAGATATATACTAAGTGGGCTTAAGGGTCATATTTAACAACGAGAGCAAGCCTAAATACTTGGGTTTCTAAATACTTTGGAATAACCAATTTGCATACCACAAATATACTAGGCATACATCATCCTCTTATGTTTCAAACACATCCCCCTGTCTCTCTTAGGGTACACTTCATTTGAATATGAGTACCAGGGAACACTTTCTCAGTTTTGACATTTCCTTGAGGTGTGAATCAACAAAATATCATGACTGTGTAGGTCCAACTGCACAGATGCAGCTCAAATGCTGCCACTTAGCCTGGTGCTATCCCTGCAGGAGACACATCTTGCTGAAACAGGTCCACATGCAACCCAAGCAGAGAGAGACAGCAGTGGGAAGATTGTAGGAAGAAAAATGAGAAAGACGAGAGATGTTGATAATTCAAGTTGCAGCTTTTTCTGAATGGCTGGCTGCCAAGGTAATTCTCTCTCAAGGAAGTACAGAAGATACTATAGTTCTACTGGACTTTCTTCTGCTGCTGCTGCTCCTCCTCCTCCTCCTCCTCAAAGCGTGCTTCCTGGTCATGATGAGGTGAGCACAGAAGTTAAGGGAAGTGTTCAGAAACCTCTATAGCAAATGGACATTGTCATGATAACCAAGGGCATGATTAGCAGATTTGTCTCACTGGACAAAGTGTAGACCAGTTCAGGTGTTGGTGAACGTGTCGCAGATGGGGTGAGTTACACAGTCACACACAGTAGGACCACGTATTGGTTAGAGACAGACTGAAAAGTAAACAAACCAGCCAACCTGGTCCTTGTGGCTTTTCAGCACAGTCTGACAAGCACAACTCTGTAATACACTTGTAGATTTGAGTGTTCCATTTGAGAGGCATAAGGTACGAGGAGTATACAAGTAAGAAAAAGACTCCTAATGAATGTGATATTGACACTCTGTTATGCAGAAAACGATTAGATTTATTTGGCCTACTACCAAACATGTAGGTGGCCTGATGTCATGAGACTTTAGAATACAATTTTGATAAAACCTAACCTGAAAAGCATTTCTGTTCTATCTTTTGTCAGTATTTTGATTGATAAAGATTTGGAGGACTATTAAGCTATAGAGTAGTTGACATTAGTTCATGTTGCTAATCATGATTATTTTTTCTGTACATTTTCCCTTCTGAATCTGTCAATTCCTCCAACAAATCTTTATGACTTAATCAGGGAGAAAACTTTCTTAGAACAAAGTTTCAGGCTGGAACAGAAGATACTCAAAACATTTATTGTTTTAAGATACTTTCATCTGGATTAAGAACCACTTATGCTTCCTTCCTTATACGCTGCCACTAACCTCACCTGTGTTTAGTAAAATTAGTAATCGATTCTTCACAAATGCTAACTGTTTGACATTTTTGCATGGGAGAGAAGAAGGTCCCATTAATAGTTCTATTCCCAGTTAGTGTTCATTTTAGAACATATACTCCCTCACAACAGCAGAATGGCGTAGAGCCCAACACTGCGTTTAGCCTTTGACTCCCATCACAAATCCTCTCAGGACAAACCGTCATGGGGACAGTCACGTTCTCAGTTTGATCTTTAAAACAGACATAAGAATGCTAGTGTTCCACTTCAAGGGCAGCACTCCAGGAGCAGTTTTCTATCTTAGAAGTGGTCTGTGTAATCAAAGGATGAGTGATATTGGATGAACAAATGCTGGTGAAGCACATTTCCAAATAACAAAGCAAAGGGTATTCTGGAGCTTACTCTAGGTATTTACTTGACACTGATGTGAGATAGGAAGGTGTGGGCTATAATATTTCCTTGCCTTATCTGGCCCTTCTTGGAACTCTAAACAAAAGCCAGAAAAGCTTCATTTAGAAGGCACAGGATACGACTTAGCCTCGGTCATTTAATTTTCAAGGGATGGTTCAACATCACAGAGAAGAATCTGGTTGCTGACAGTTAAGCACGGAGTGATCCATAATAGGCTTTCAGAAGCTCTTGAAAAACAACAGTGTAAGAGCTGGTATTGTCTCTGTCTCTGTATGGATTTAGGGTTTACCTTGTTTTCTTACAAAGAAGATTACAGTAAGGCAATGGTAGCTGAATAATGAATTGTGCAATGAAAGCAGTGTCTAGACTTGTATGCTGTGCACAGTAGGTGCTCAATAAAATTGAATGAACTTCAGAGTCCAAGGCAGGATGATCCAAATGAAAAAACCAGTTTGGTTCCATCTTTAATGAGGGAGGTTGCCTTGAGCAAGTCATTGAACTTCGACAAACTTAGCCCATTCTGTGGTTTTAAGACACAATATTTTGGGGACTCAGTGGAAAGTAAAATTCCTCAAACTTACTGGGTGGTTTGTAAATTCTCAGCATTTCTGTGTGACTGATCTAGTTTTACACAATTGAGCATATTGCTGAAAGCATAGAAGTTATCAATATGTATCTGTCTGTGATGGAGATAAGATTTCAAAGAAGACTATTAATCAAACTGGTATGAATAATGTAGTAACATTATCTGGATTACAGCTACCCCTGTTACTGGTATCTTGTTGCTTACTGGTCTAGATGGACTGTTGATAAAAACGAACAGCTAAGCCTGACATTTCAGATGAAATTGAAACGATATTCCAATTAAGAGTTTTAAGAGGGCCATTCCACCTTGTTGATTCAAACTCTGTTTCAGCATCAGCTACTTTAATCAAAGGGGATCTCAAAGACTCATTTCAATGCTTTATCCACCTCCAGGAAGACTGGCCACTAAAGCATAACTCTTCAACTTATTGGTCCAGGTTGCTGTGCACATTTAAGTTATCTCAACAGTTTCCATGGTGTTATGTGGGATATAGACATATCTCTAAAGACTGCATTTTCCCTCAAGGACCTTATGTTTGAGATACGGTAACAAGGCATTTTATTCCTTCATTCAAAAAACATTTCCGGGTGCCTACTATATGCCAGACATGGTCTGGGCAAAAGGAATATATGGTAAATGAGTTAGACCAGAGCCTAGCTCTCAGGGAGCTTGTATTCCAGTGGGGAAGACAGATAAGAAGTAAATAATGGGCTGGGTGCGGTGGCTCATACCTGTAATTCCAGCACTTTGGGAGGCCAACGCAGGCAGATCACTTGAGGGTCAGGAGTTTGAGACCAGCCTGGCCGACAAGGTGAAACCCTGTCTCTACTAAAAATACAAAAATTAGCCAGGTGTGGTGGCACATGCCTGTAATCCCAGCTATTTGGGAAGCTGAGGCAGGTGAATTGCTTGAACCTAGGAGGCAGAGGCTGTGGTGAGCCAAGACTGCACCACTGCACTCCAGCCTGGGTGACAGAGCAAGACACAGTCTCCAAAACAACAACAACAACAACAAAAAAGTAAATAATGGTACTGGTGGCATAGGGGTGCTTCAGAGAGTAGCCAGGGAAGCTCCTCTGGAGAGGTGACATTTGGAGAAAAGATTGAGGCATGTAAACATCTGGGGCACTGCCATGCAGGCTGTTAGAAGGCGTAGTACAAAAAGTGGCAAACACCCTGATTACACAGGAAAAGTAATGAGGAAGCCAATTCAATCCAGGATGGGGCTGACCAGGAAAGGTTCCCTAAGGATCTCTTCCTTGTCCTGTGCCTCAAAGGCTAAAGAAAAAATTCTAGACTGGCTGGGGCATCCTGCATAATCTCCAGGTCAATCCCGGTTCCCTTCTGATATAGTTAGCTTCCTCTATAAAACCAGGTTTGGAGAGCATTTTAGTCTCCTATTGAAATTGTAGCTTTCCTTTCCTTTCATTACATCATGAGAACACAATACAGGTGACAGCAGTTTCACAGCCTACATAGGATGCTTCTGATGAATCGCCTGGGAAATTAAAACAATAGACAAAAGAAAAAGCCTTCTTTGGGCATGTATTTTCTTTCTTAATTGCCTACAGGAAGATGTAGAGCAGGTGTTCAGTGCCTGAAAATTTATGGGTAATTATTTGTCTGCTCAACCCTAGGGTACACTTGGGTGTAATCCCTTTAACTCTAAGCAGTCTCATAATAACAGGGATTTGACACTTACCTAAATATGATCATTTTGTGTACTTTAAAAGGGAGAACATCTGTTTTTCTTTTCTTTCTTTTTTTCTTTTTCTTTTTTGAGACAGAGTCTTGCTCTGTTGCCCAGGCTGGAGTGCAGTGGCACAATCTTGGCTCACTGCAACCTCCACCTCCTGGGTTTAAGCAGTTCTCCTGCCTCAGCCTCCCAAGTAGCTGGGATTACAGGTGCATGCCACCATGCCTGGCTAATTTTTGTATTTTTAGTAGAGACAGGGTTTCACCATGTTAGCCAGGCTGGTCTCGAACTCCTGACTTTGTGATCCGCCCACCTTGGCCTCCCAAAGTACTGGGATTACAGGCGTGAGCCACCGTGTCTGGCCAGAACATCTGTTTTTCTCTGTGCATTTGCTTTAATAAAATCTCAACACACTCATACATATTTTCCTCATATATAACATCCATGGAACTAGTTGTTCTTTGGAAGGTGCTGACTTTAGTCCAATTCAATTTAGATGATAAGTGGTCTGTTGCGATTGGCCCCTTACTTAAATATAACAGCCTGATTTTACTAAAATTGAACCCAACAGTTAGAACAAAACAGGATGGAATCTAGAAGGCAGATTGCGACTGTTCTAAGAAATCTCGTGCAGAAGCAGGGATGACAGGCACGTGCCAGTCTCCCTGGAAACTGGGCCCACTTTAGGAAACTCACTTCTCAGCATGTGGGGTTTATTAATTAACCTTCTCGAAAGGACTGAGCAGAGGCCCTTTCAGAGACACACCTCTGAAACAGCAATGCTGGAGGTACAGCTACTGTTCTGTAGTGGAGAGACCCTTCCGGTGAGTGGCTGCAGTAGGCCTCAGCTGATGCGTTCCTAGCCTAGGAGGCCTGAGCCATCACCGCCATAGAACTGAGGACAACATCTGTCCAAAATTGCCAGGTTCATTTTATGAGAAGGTACTTAGGTAACAGAAATGACCTGGTGACATCTGAGTTGCTGTGGACAAAAGACCAAATGTTTAAAGCAAGACTTCCTGGCTGCTATGGACTCACAGTACTCCATGGTAACTGTTCAAAGGGGCTAGAGATGGAGAATGCCCCTATTCTGGTTGTTTAAGAAGAAATGAAAAGCTAATGTCTAATGGTCCTAATGGCTTGTGAGCTCCTTACAGGCAGGCAGAGTGGTGACTTCCTGATTTTGCATTTCTAGGGCCAAACAGTATATTTAATGTAAGAGATGCTCAGTAAAATGAACGGAATTGAAAATAAACACGAATATAAAGTCTGATGGCATCCAAGGTCTAGCTTAAAATGTTAATCCTAGGCTAGTTTTCTAAACACCTGCGTTGTGTCTGCTTTTATTCATGAAAAGAGAGAAGCAGTCTTAGGAACACAGTGTCACATGCCTACGAGGGGTTCAGTCATTCCTAGGCCCTGATAATTTTACTCTGCATGGACAGTATGGGCAATAATTGTGACTCGGGGGCACATCTCTACACTGCAGTGAGTGAAAGGCACCACCAAAGCCTCACTGGAGTGACTCAAGAGAACAAGAGGAAATGATAGCTTGGGCTTCTTTATCTGGGCCTGCGGCCTGTAGGTCAGGGTAACGGGCACCGAGGTACCTAGGGACCTTGTTAAAGTACAGATTCTGATTCTGAAGATCTGGGGGACCAAGTTTGTGCAGTTCCCACATCTCCTAGATGAGAACTCTACTTTGACCAGCCAGGCTGCTGGTCCTCCTACCACACTTTAAACAACAGGGTTCTAGGGAACAGTTTCTGAGTGGCTCCCTCCTGCTTTGAAAGCAGGATGCTCTCAGGTGCTTCAGGCTTTGGGGAGAAAGACTCAGTTCAGGCTAGTCTTAACACTTCTTTAATACTAGCTAATCTCCTTAGAGAAAAGGCAGGATGTAGTGACCCCAGGCTCCCAACCCTCCGCGGGCACCCTTATCGAGCACCAGGATTTAATAACACTGGCTTGTGTCCACTGTATTTAATTGTATGGGATTTTCTATTTAAGACAATGGATGCTGACTTTCTGCTTGGAGGCAGTGGTATAGTGTTTCCTTTAAAATAAAATTACCGTAGTTTAAATAAGTTGAGTCGAGTTAAAGAGAAATAGAAAGCACATAAGAGTTCTGGTGATACTCAGATACAACAACAAAACTGTAAGACAGAATGGCCCAAATTGGGCAGATACTGTGGGGGCTCAGTGAATCTCCTGAAACTGTATGCAAGCTCTCGCAGGCAGCAGAGTTTTTCCAGAGAGGGGCTGTAGGTTCCATCAGATTCTCAAAGGTATTAGAAACTAAAAAAAGAGCTAAAGAACCCACTGCTATAAAGTCAAGTTTAACTAAATACCAAAGACTGCAGAGTCTCTACTACTTCATACCTCTAGCTTCTGAAACACCTGACAGCTTTTTAAAAGAACTCTACTTTGCCACAGTTACATCATCAAAAAGCAGTGTCGTCCCATAAAGATGATTGAATAGCCCTCTGTTTGGAGAGCGGTGTTTCTCCAACAGTGTTCCAGAGAACTGTAGACTGAGGCAGTATAAACAGGTACTTGGCCAGAGAGGTGGGGGAAATTCTGCCCACTCCCCCAGGGGATTTACCAATGCTAGTTAGATAGTCAAGATTCTCAGAAGTCCTCCAAGAAATCTGTTTAGTTTTCTTCGATCTGGCATTTCTCAAATGTATTTCCTTATGAACCCCCTTTGGAAGGAACATACATTAACAAATGAAGGAAAAGTATCCTGAAGGAGTCATGGCTGCTTCACCAAACATCCCTGAAGCTGGGGTGATAGGACACTAAATAAGAGGCAGAATCCTGATTTTTGAAAATGACAAAACTTCATTCCCTGGAGCAATCGTTAAATGGCAAGTGCTTTGGTAAGTGGTTGACAGCAAGCAGAAAGTCAAGTTTTTATAGTGGCCATTCCTGTTTAGAACAGGTGCATTTAGGGAAAATTTTAAAGTTTTAAAAACTTGCATTGAGTCAGTCATGCCACTGGCGACAAGTCCTTTGATTTGACTGTATCTGGCTAACCGTCAGTTAAGTCATCGTTTGCCTACATTTATTGATTTTTAACTTCTGTTTTGGAATAAGAACTCTTGGTAACTTTAAGTAGAGGAACACAGCTGTTTTCTACTATTCGACTGCTTCTGTCCTTGCACAGAACCTACTGCCACTAAACAGTTCAGCTTCAGAAGTATTGGTAGGACAGCATAGATTACACAACAGTTAGCCATGAAATTGGATAAAATGTTTGATTTTTTTCCTGGGTGACCTTTTGATGGTACCCAAGGGCTTGCCTGTCAACATCAGGTGTCTTTTTACTTTATTCCACAAGATCAGCTTTCAGAAATGCTCTTATATGTTTTGAAACCCCATTGAAATATAAAAGTGTTTCCCCCAAAATATAAATATATTATACAAGTTAGTGTTTCCTGTATTTTCTATCACCTTTATTAAAAGGAAAATGGGAAGTAGAACTCTGTTGGCAACCTGGTGTCCTCAAATTTTTTAAACCTTAACAAAGACCTACTTGACATTATGTAGCATCTTGAATCTTTACCTAATCCTGTGTGGCCTCAAGCAACACTTAAGAAGAGTTATGGATTTGTTTAATTTCTTCTATATCAATGTTAGCAAGCTTGAAGCAAGTGAAGCAGTGAACAAACCCTTTTGTTAGGGCAGGCTAGCATTCACTGAAGTAATTTATCCACCTACTCTTGAGCCATCTGCCTTTGAGTAAAGAGTGGTGATGACATAAAAGGGAGGAAGGTGAGGAGGCTTATGTTAGTTACAAGAATGTATGGATTATGTGGATTCAAAGGTTGACAACAGGATTTACTGTCCTATCTTTTAAGTGATTCAAATAAAAAAAACAACAACCTTACATTTCTGCTTTTGGGACTTGATTATTAAGCTCTATTTCCAAGGAGGGAAGAAGAATCTCAGTTGTGCCTTTCAAAGGGCATGAGTAAAAGTGGTTCTGCTTTTGTTATTTTTCCATTGGCATCTGTAAACTAATTTATGTTTATAGAGAACAATTAGGCATTCTGTGTTCTTAATAATGACTCCCAAAATGAGACAAGGATGTTCTTCATACCTCCAGCTCCAGCTCCTCCCTGTCCATCTCCTGATGGATGTCTCCAATGTAGTCATTTGGATCGTAGTATTCATGGGCTGAGGGATGCCTGAAAAGAGATGCAACATCATTACAGCCCTGTTTCCAGTGTCAGGATCTGTTTCTCTTACACCCATGGTCAGGCCAGTGGCACAGGAACAGTTCCCAGGGTGTGGGCCCTTTCATGACTCACTTCCCTCTGGATGGGGCTCTCAGCACGGTCAGGACCTCCATCATCCTAATTTTACCATTTGCCTTTAGTCCATTTCCTGCTGAAGGACTTAAGATGCAAAGTGCCAGCCTGATGGGCTTTGTTGTTTGCAGAGCCCATCCCAGAGCCTGCCAGTCATGTGATTCAATGTGACTAATTTCTAACTCCATCTGTACGCAGGAAAGAGGACAGTATTTTACTGCTTATTGCTTCATTGTTAGATGAAAACTAGGCTCTGCAGAAAACTAGGCTCGAGCCCAGGCAACAGTCTAAGATATGTGCTGGCCCCTGAGACCAGTTCAAAAGGCTGAGACTGAAACTCTGCTGCTGTTACCTAGGACGGTGTCTTTTTGAATGTTACCCACAAAGATATGTTTGATATCACAATGCAGTATGCACTTACATGGTTGAAACGTATGTGCAAACATGTAGGCATCAATGCATATAATGATGTTTTATATGCATCATTATATGCATTGTTATATGCATCATATAACAATGCATATAAAGATATGTTTCCCTAGGACAACATATGCAAAATACAATCCACAGAACTCATGACATCTTTGGAAGCGTCATTAAAGGAACCTCAAGGAGCAAAGGCAGTGGGAGTCATAACATACTGGATCAGTGGCTTTGAAAGGAGCTTAACAGTCCATGGTGCCGGATGCAAAGCTTCAGCCTCTGATTGTTGGCTGGGGACCCAAACCTTCACGTTCTCAAAGGTCATAGCACAGCAATCAATGGGCCCTAGTCTTCCCTGCCAGGCACTTAGTTTTGAAACAACAGATCAGACATGAGTGGCCATTCAAACAAGGGCTGGCTTTCAATTTTCTGGACCCATCAGGCAAATATACTGCCTGCACTTAAAGGGCTTTTAGTACTGAGGATACTGTTGGAAGGTCTGGGCTTTCACGCATCAACTTAACATTCCCCGTTCAGTCCCGATGCACGCTCTTGCTGTTGTCTGACCTAGCCAGAACCTGAAGAGGCCTGACCTCTGGACTCTTCTGACATTTCTCAAGTTGCCCCCAGGGGATAAGTCATGTCATGTTAACTAGACTTAAGAGGAAATTACAGGTTTAGCTTCTAAAAGGCCCGTCACTGTGACAGGTCAACATTTGAGAGTCAGAAGTAGCCTTAAAGGCCTCATCAATAATGTGAGGCAGTTTGGTCTGTAACGTCAGATAAATGGTTTGGATAATCATACTCAGTGAATCAGCCAGTTGTTCCAGAGGATCGAATGGGCCACTACAGGGTACTGTGGTTCAGAGCTGGGAGTTGGGGTCTGACTGACCTGCCTTTCCATCAGCTCAGTAGAACCTGGTGAGTTTGCAGTTCCTCATCTGTATAAACGGACAGTCATGAGAAATAAAGGAGATAATAGTGCTTTGCACATGTGCACACTGTGAGCGAATGTGAGACGGATGCCCTGTCCTCTGTCTTTACGCTACCAGCTGCCGCCAAACCTACTCTGTCAAGCCTGGGGAATTAGCCCTGGGTTCCAGTGACAGCTAGCCACTAAAACCAAGGGATGAAGCGCAAGCCTTTATTTGGAACTTGACAGAACCACAGGAAACAAGTGCTCACTCCAGCTACTGACTTACTACTAGGAATCCAACAGGTATTACCCAGTGGATTTTCCTGTAAGAGGTGAAAATGCCCTTTGAAATAAATGATCTGATCCAAGATGGAGCTGAGATGGGAAAACACAGGGGCGACCCTAACATCAGCTGGAGAGGCTGTGTCCTCAGATGTGCGAAGTCACACACGAAAAGCTTCGTTTAAAGCTATGTTGAACGGGACGCCTTGGAGGCCAGCAGTCTGTCACAGAAAGTGTCTTGCTCTTCATTTTTTCCTGAATATTTTACTTCACCCACTAAATTAACGGGGATCACTGCTATCATGTACCGAGTGCTTACCATATGCCCCGTGGGCACTTCCCACATACTGTTTCATTTAATCCTTCAACGATCATAAGAGATTGATACTGTTATCCCCATTTTAATATAGGAAAAATACAGCCCCACAAAACAAAGTAGGTTACCCAAGTTCCACAACTAGAAATCACTTTGAGCATCAGGTTTGTCCGACTTGAAGCCTCTGAAGGAATCTTCGTCGCTGGCAGAAATAAGTTGGGAGAAGAGGTGTGTGTAAAGAAATCCATGTGGCGTGCTGAGTTGCAGCTGTTATTTAATTGGTTGATGCAGTACTTAGATGAGGCATGTGCGGGCTTATTACATGGATCCAGGCTTGAAATGAGACCCAAGAAAGCAGAAGGCACAACCTCCAGGGCTCTCTTGACACACACAACTTACTTTGTTGTCTATTTAAAAGAATGATCAGCATTCCCTCTAGTAATAACTGCAGGATCTTCAAATTACCATTTGGGGTGATTAAATTTTATTCTGAAACAACTTTTACAACATTTGTAAGTAATTCTGTTCTTAGGATATAATTTGAATAAGTCCGCTCCAGGGTTATAATAAAGTAATTAATATGTCAGAGCGGTTTGGAGCAGGATTCGATTTATTGCCTCTATAAACAATAAAATTAAATACGGGCAACTTGGAGGAAAATTATAGGGTGCATTAATTTTTTTTTGCCACATGGAAGAGCAAAAAAACAACTTGGAAATACTTCTTTACTTAACGCGTTAGGGGTTCAAGATTTGGTTACTTACTCCTCTGGCAAGAGATAGGGATCCAGCACGGGCGGGCTGGGAGAGGACATCTTAGTGAGGGCCATGATATGTTCAAAGGTGATGTCGGTTTGGGTTCCCGTGTCCACCAGCTGCGACTCTGATGGAGGCGTGAACATTTTGGTCCTTGGTGTTCTTCTCAACACCTGCACCACTATGGGCTCCTTGGCTGTCTTGAAAGCTTCCACAGCCTGGTCATGAGTTGCTCTGGACAAGTCTTTGCCGTTGACCTGTGGAAAAATATTTAGGGTGGGACAAGGTTAGAATGAAGCAGAAAATGGAAGGACAGATACATGGATTGGCTCCTTTCATGTGTAAGCAGCTAAAAGAAGCAGGCGATGGGGTCAGAGAACTTCACTTCTCTAATGTTTAGGTTTCCCAAAGAATGCCTGGTGGAAAGAGTGAGTTTGGAGGTATTCAGATCTGGCATGAAATAGTAAATCTCACAGTGGGAAAGCTTGGCTTCCCCGTGGAATATCTTTAACACAATTTCATCACTTGCTAATCTTGCCTGTGAAAGAAAAGGCCAGCCTCAGGCTCCGAGCCTTTATCAGGCAATAATAGCTAACTAGAAATTCATTACACTGTTACGTTTTAATAGTGTGTATTTTTCCAGTTTGTGTCAGATGATACCAGTCTTCCCGTCATGGAAGTAATATGAAGTTTCCTCTTAAAATTAATCCTTTTGCTCTTTAAAAAGTCCATTGACAATATTAAGTAAATGACAGTTGAGGTCATAGGGGCATATGGCAAGTCTTATGGAGAAGGAACTCAAATGGCCAACGTTTGGGGGGAAGTCACCACTGGCTTAATTGCTGTTTTGTTTCCCACTGTGTGCAGTGTTTTGCTATTACTGCATCCTCAAAGCCTGCACTTATTGAGTGACTACTGTCTGCTGCATGGCTTAAATGAAGATACCTCTCAACAGTTCTCTCATCATAGTCCTGTGAAGGTGGCAGGACTGAAAGTAAGATCATCTCCCTCCCTGCAGCCTCAGACCTCATGAGAGGACCTTACTAGTTCATGCTGGGTCAGAACGTTGGATGCTGTGTCCAGGATTCTCCCCAATGGTACAATCAAAACTCACCCAACCTGGCTATCTATCTTTAGAACAGCTTCCATAAGATGAAATAGAAATCAGAGTCTTATTTCTAAAAATCAAAGTCATTCCAAGTTAGATGGAAGTCCAATGATTTAATTTATCCTCTCTTTTCCCTTCCCCCATAAAACAAAGGAACTATGTTCAGGTAGTTATGGGCAGAAAGTCTGGTAACATCTTATGACTGAAAATACATCAGGCTCCACAATATTTTAATATTACGGTATTCCTCAAGAGGTTTGGTGGGCTTTTAAAAAGCAAATGTAAAATGATGGTATAGGAATCATATTCCACAGGACTGCAGAAGTTGCTCAGCTTCTCAAAGCTTTTCTGGAGAACACTGACCCACTCAAGTCACTCCACATAGCAATCCCTGAGTGTAAATCTCATACATTAATAGTCCATTCTTGCAATGTGCGTGTTTTTAGCATGTATGTATAAATGTCAAAATGAACACTGAACCACAGCCTTTTCCTATCTGGCATATATACATTTTCCTCCCTTAGTATCTTGGACTTCAAAGCATGCTGACAATTAGGTCTATCCTCAGAGCACTTCAATTTCCCTCTGTCCAGGCAGAACATAAGTATTGATTGCAAAGCTGTTTTTCTCTTTTTTTCCCCCAAACCCTTTCACTCTGGCCCTGTAGGGACAACAACTCTTAGGTTGAAGTGCGTTGTAAACAACTGTTGGGTTGAGAAATAGATGTTGAATTCTTTCCTTGTAATGAAGCCCAAATGAATCATGCCAGTGGAGGTTATTAATGATTTGGATTCAATCCACTTAAGTAATTTATTTACATCATGAGGGAGTTCGGCAGAAAAGAACTCTGGGTCACAAAAATGACTTGAGTGCACCAGTAAATAAGGAACTGTCTGAACCACCGAACTTTTAAATTCCCCATCCTGGAGGACTTGGAAAGCAGGGTTTAACACTACTACTGTTGCCATGTTTCTCCCTTTGAGAGAAGAATGAAAGGACAAGAAAGAATTCTTTCTAGCTTTCCGCCCCAAGTGACCTTGGTGAGTGCTTCCCTGCTTAGACCTTCGAATGCTGAGGGCTTGGCATGGGAGGGAATGGGGTGTAGATGGGGATGAAAAACAACTTGGGGTCCTGTGGAATTCATGCTGGGGCCGAACTCTTTGAGCCATATCTTTCACTAAATGTGTGACACCAAGAGTCACATAGTACAGGAATTTACAATACTACAGTAAATTTGTTCCTGAGAATAACTTAATGCAACAGATAGCACCCTTAGGAGGTGTGGGTGTGTTCAATACCACCCAGTCACACCGGTCTTCTGCCCTTTGTATTCCCTGGGGATGGCTTGCCCCAATGTTAGTTATACCCACAATGAATTCAGACATTAGGATTTTCAAGTGGGTGCTACAAGATGTGTCAAATTTGTTCTTCCTCTATTTAATACTATATAAATACCAGGCCTTTTGCCAAAAAGGAATAAGAATGGGATTTTCTTACTATGGTATCTTTTTCCTTTATAACTTCCTCTTCTTGTTAAGAGGAACACTAAGCTAAGTGAGGGAGAGGATGGGGAATTAGAATCCGGGAATCTTCTAGTTATGTCCAGAAAGGAACCTATAGGTCTACACTGTTTAGACACACATAATTCTTACAAACACTACAGGAGACAATGTCAGCTGCCTGCGCAGCACGTACCCATCCTCACCCTAATGCTTCCTCTCTGCTAAAAGAACTCTTTGTTTCCTTTCTACCAGATCCTATATCTTTCCTTCTGGGGGAGATTTGAGGTGTGGATTTTGATGGGCTCCCGCCTATCATGGTGGTCTTGGTCCTTTTGCCTCATGATGGATTTAGGCATGGGTATACAGTGTAATTCTGGCTGGCTGGATGGGATGGGAGAACTGCTAGGGAGCTCTGAGGTTTTGTTCATCCTTAAACTAAGACATGAGACAGGAGAGGGCCATTTTCTGCCCCTAGGCAAGTCATCTGCATGCTTCCTTGGACTTGTGGCAGCATCTTGGGACCCTGTGGGGAACTGGCCTCAGAGGCCAGCTTAACACACTGAGGATGGCAGAGTAGAAAAATGAGAGAATTGTGGTCCCAATAATATCACTGAGTAAGTGAATTAACCAAGTTTAGAACCTCTTATCCCCAAACTTCTTGTTATATTCAATGATACATTTCTTATACTTTAGGTCATTTGACTTGGATCTTAACTACCTACAGTCCAAAACATCCTAAAAGGTGTAAATATCACATAGCTATATTGTAAAATTAGGCACAAATGTCTTCTCATTCATTCCTAGAGACAGTCTTCTATGTGGGTAATTAGTGAAAAGCCTTCTCTGATCAGGAGTACATCTTATTTCATTTTTATAGCAAGGTGATGGCAACTATTGCTTTACTTGGATAGATTTTATAAACCAAATGCTAGTACCATTGAGTGGATGTTTAAATGGTACCAAGAAAAATGATGCATGAAGGACCTGCTTGGATCAGCCTAAAGCTAAAAGCATTCTTGGCTACAAAGAGCTCCTCTGTGTTGAGACACACTCAATTACAAAAAGCAGGAAAGCTGTTCTGAATCCATCCAGCTTTCAGTACTATTAAACGGCACTGATACAACTACATCCATACTGCCCAGGTTACAGAGGGAAGAGCAGTAGCAACCCCAAAGGGAGAACTGGGACTTTGGGGTGACTGAGAAATGCCCTGTCATCCCACACAAGAATGTTCCCCCTGCCTACGGCTGGGTTCCACAGAAAGGCATTTCTGACAACTGTGCCCAAGAAAACAAATTAAGTAGCCCATGCAGTTTTCAATCAAATACAGCTCAAATAAGCCCCTCCACAAGCCAGGTGACCTCCTCCTTTTTTTACAGTTCAGAGGTGGAGTGTGCAGGGACGGCAATTGTGGGATGAAGCCAGCGTTGGAATCCTGGCTGTGGGCTTTGGGCAATTTAACTGTTCTTTCCAGTTTCCTCATCTACAAAATAAATATAGCATCATGCTTCTTAGGGTAATATAAAGTTTAGATGAGATAATTTACTTGTAATGCCTAAATGCCGACAATAAGAATTTACTAAGACTCCAGTGCTCGTGGGGATCCTATAGTAGAAGAGACACATTTTCTCATGAGGAAACAATCTATAATTAAAGAAGCAAAACCCAGCCTAGTGAGGTGTTCTTAAGAGACATTCGTATGCTGAAAGGCTTCTTAGCTTCCCAGAAGCTGTCTGCCCGTCTTGTGTGTTCCTGGGGTACCAATATGTACACTGATATTTTCAGTCCTTGAGTTGGGATTCTTGGAGGAGGAGGGGGGTGCAACAGATAAATTCTACAGGACTTGACCCCTGCCACATGAGCTTCTTGACAAGGTATTTTAGGGATCATTACATTCTCTAAAAAGAAGATGAGACAAGGCGGGAGTTTACTATCCTAGACGATCCATTTTTGCAGCCAAATTTGTTTTGAATTACCTTGTGCACATAACACTTATTACACTGTCATCTTGGAATCACATCACTGAGAGACTTAGCGAGGTGATGACTCCGGTGCACGCCGTCAGCCAACCGAGAATGACAACTTTTATTCTCAGGATTAGCATTGCATCTACATTACACAAAACGGCGGTGATGATGGCTGTGATTATAGACGGGATGCTCACCCAGTGACGTTTGGCCCGGTCAAATTCAATATCATTAACTCGCCCAATTGAGCAGATTGCCTTTAAAACAGTTTATGCAGCTTTAAAACCAAGTAAATGGAATGTTTTGGAACAAGAAATGCTGATTGCAAACTTTATCTTTATTATAAATTAAATGCTTAAATTATTCACCTAAGGCTCTGGCTGGTCCCCTGGGACTTAGGTGCAATTATGGCAAAAATCCAATCAGTTAGTCTCAAGGCAAACATCACTGATGCAAATATGACATGACACTAAGGGACCTTAAAGAGGTCCTTTAGCATAAGGTCTCCCGAGACAAGACAGACAATTATGCTGAGGGCGTGGAACCATTCCTTCCTGGTTCAATTTGGGCTGGAATAACATTGCTGTTGCTCTTCCTAGGAGGTACTTGTAGCTGTCTTTTCCACAGTCGGTCCTGAGAACTAACACAAAGCTGGCCAGCTTTCCATGTGGGAGGTAAAT